AGCCGGTCCGGGTCGGAAGTGGACATGAGCAAGTTATTGTTTGCGTTGGCAAACAATGTGCTGTGTAGAGTGGCGTTGGGGAAGAGGTTTATAGTGGAGGAGGAGGAGGAGTCAAAGTCAAAGTCAAATTCAGAAGATCGTTTGGTGGAGCTTTTGAGTGAGACGCAGGCTTTGCTTGCTGGGTGGTGCGTAGGGGATTTCTTCCCCGAGTGGGAGTGGGTCAACTGGGTGAGTGGGCTCAGGAGGAGGCTGAAGAGGAAGTTGGAGGGTTTGAGACAAGTGTGTGATGAAATAATACAAGAGCATTTGAACAAAACGACGTCGTGCGAAGGTGGTCGTGGTGGCGGTAGCAGAGAAGATTTTGTGGATGTTCTGCTTCGAGTGCGACAAAGAGATGACTTGGAGGTGCCAATTACTGATGACAATCTCAAGGCTCTTGTACTGGTAAATATCGATCCCCTCTCTATTATTATGATCCAACGACACCGTTTTGTGTTGCATTTCTGTTTGTCCTACGTAGCTTGTGTTAATGACTTATTGTATGTATGTCAAGCGTGGCATGCATGCATGCAGCATGCAAATCCTAAACTCGCAACTCTCAACTAAATATAATTAAGAAGGGTGATGTCATGTCACTACTAGTTGTTTCTATCTTGATCTTAAATTGAATATGGGACCGATTGCTTAGATCAGCAGTGGACATGTTTTCTGGATCACCTCCCAATTAACCTAATCAAGATAATGTGTTAATATAATTAATAGGACATGTTTGTGGCCGGAACCGATACGACATCAGCCACCCTAGAATGGGCAATGACAGAGTTGGTGAGACACCCAAACGTGATGAAGAAAGCACAAGAACAAGTTCGAAAATTTGCATCCAGCACTGGAAAAGTTGACGAGAGCTACCTTCAACACTTTGACTACTTGAAAGCAGTCATAAAAGAGACAATGCGATTGCATCCGCCAGTCCCTCTTCTTGTCCCTCGAGAATCAATGGACAAGTGCACTCTGGATGGCTACGAAATACCCGAAAAAACTAGGGTTCTAATCAACGCCTATGCCATAGCAAGAGACCCACAGTCGTGGGACAATCCCTTGGAGTATAGGCCTGAGAGGTTTCAAGATGCAGGCAACGTTAATGTTAATGTTCTTGATCAAGATTTTAGGTTTCTACCATTTGGTGGAGGAAGAAGAGGCTGCCCAGGATATGGCTTTGGGTTGGCAACTGTGGAGATTGCATTGGCAAGGCTCTTGTATCATTTTGATTGGGCATTGCCTCAAGGAGTTGGACCAGATGATGTGGACCTTGACGAGACTTTTGGGCTTGCCACAAGAAAGAAGTCTGCTCTTGTTCTTGTTCCAACACCCAGCCAACATGGATCACCAATTCAAGGGAATTGATCATCACCACCTTTAAAACACAGCAAGAAAAGAAGATTCCTTTCCGTCTCAAGCTTCCTCTGAGTTTGAGTTTTAATGGAACATCATCTCCCTCTGAGTCTGGTTTCCACACTGCAGAAAGCTCCAAAATTTCATACGAAAGATTGCGTCATCGTTGTTTAAGAGGAAAATATAATATAAGAATGTGTTGTTGGTATTAATTTCTATTCTATGTAATTTGTTGGTAACATGCATTAATGTATTCCATGTTATAACATACGATGCTGATTATAATCTCAAGGAAAATTTAGGGTTTTATTTCATGCCATCCATCTATGCAGATTTCCAAAGAACTTACAAAACTAAACTTATTTATGTCTTGTTTTCACCTCCCACTTAACCACCTTTACATATATAATGTCTTAATAGGGCACGTTTGCTACATGGTGCACTTAATTCAGCAGTTTCAAGAGATTTTCAGAAATAAAAGTGTGGAACAGGCTAAATTTGTATCAGATGTTATTGGCAAAGAACATAAAATCATGTTTAATGGACAGAGAGATCTATAAACAAAACCGTGTGTACAATCATCCCAAACGACCTTTCGCGAAATGTGCACGCAGCTGAATAAGCTTCACTATCTCACAGAACCTATCTGCCCTTCAGCCTTTTACCCTGTTAAACGAACCAACAATCATTTTAGGCATGTAAAGTAATGGACGTTCATTTATGGGATTGATTTAGGGAGGTTTTAGGTTTGAGTGTTGCCTGACAACTGAAAAATGAGAAGCCAACAAGAAAGCCTCGACAACTACGGTTGAGAAAACAAAACTTATCAAGTGTATTGTGTGCATATAACTCACTTTTCCTGTTGTGCAGATTTTTCTTCTGATTCCTCGGACTCGGATAAGTTCAGTGTTGTCAGCTTGCCGAAAGATTCCTTTGCATCCCCAAAAAAATCTTTCACTTTGTCAAAAGTTGTTTTGAGCTTGTCTTTTGTTGGAAGCTGAAATTGGGTTCAGAACCGTCACAATATTAGAACAATCTGATCAGAACTGAAAATTTTAATTCAACTGTAACTCTGTAGCTACCAGCATAAATAGCTTCTAATTTAGAATAAACAAATTGAAGGGTTGCAGCCCAAGGGCTGAAGCTTGTGATCAGCTGAATGTCTAATGCATTATAATCTCATGACAAAGACAATGGCGTAGGCAAGCATAATGAAAAAGACAAATAATTACCTCAATTACATCCGAGGTAGAAAGTGCTGCTCTCATGTTACCATTTTCCTACACGTATAGCACAGAAAAGACTCAGACACTGAAATAACAGAATTGAGCTCCTGCCACACATTTTAATGGTGAGAAAAGGATAACAATCATCTATGAATGAACTTTTATTTAGTGTAGAGGTTATAAGAGGATTACCACAATTTTGTAGCCATATCTAAAATCAGTAGCTGACCGCAACACTCGGTACTGCTTGAATGCTGTCTTCTGTATTTCCTTCTCGTCCTGTTTAAATTAAAAACAAGCAATTACGCAATTGCTAATATGAGGCCGGTTGCGAAAAATGTTTAACCATCATAAAAATCGCATTTGGCTACTAAAAGCAGAATATTTCCTCTAAGTCATGATTAGTCAACAATGAGTATCTTTGCCACAAGGATTCTCAATATAGTTAACATGTCCATACATAAATTTTATAACACAAAACATTAGAAGATTTCGGCAAGTTATACACATTAAAAAATAAAAAATAAAAGAGGCAAATTCACTCTGGTTACATGAACTCAACTTCAGATTGCTCAGTTCAGTTGAGTAATTGTTCATACTGCTGTTCATAAATTTAACAAAAAAGAACAAGTATGTAGAAATCTAGTTATGCTTAATTAAGCAAAAACTCACCCTGTAAATAACTGCAGCAAGATTTCTAGCAAGTGTATCTTTATATATATATTTCCCCAGAAAATTATCTTTTGCTGCAACCATGATTTTAGCCGTGGTTCCGCCTGATATAACACTAAGTGGGTACCATAGGTAAACCTGTCCAAGATTCAACAAGTAAAAACTTGTAATTTTCTCCCGCTAAACAAAAATCTCAAAGAAAGTTATTAACTTTGGAAATTAAAAGCAAAAACGGGGGGAGAGAGAACAAACATTAGCCATTCTCATGAATACAACGAAACGTGGGTTGCCGTCGTCTTCAATCTTGGGCATGGCAGGAGGTGGAGGCTTCTTGGCTTGAAATTGGCGAGCCATCATTCCCCTTTTGCTCTTTGCTTGAACGACCAGTTTGCGGCCCTGCCTTTGCTCTGCCTTCTGGGTCGTCGTCGTCGTCGTGGAGACCAATGAGTGCCTGACCAAACCATCTTCATGGGTTCTCGAACTCGACAGCGGAAGCCGAACGACTGCGTTTAGAGACATACCCGCTTCCATTTTTGCTTCGATTTTGCTCAGTCTTCGTTTCTTCACTGTGTGTGCTTTGTGAGTGAGCGAGAAAGGAGAGCCCTTTGGGAAACTGACCGAAGGATGTGTGCTGTCTTATCCACAAGTTTTTTTTTTTTTTTTCGGCCAGGCAAGTTGCTTTTTGTGTGTTTTTTTTTGTGATAGTCCACGGAGTGTATTGCCAGCCATACACGTGGCAGCCCACAATGAAGTTGCTGATGGCGATGTATTGTTGGCCGTCGATTTTGCCACTACGGTCATTTTGTGTGCAAGATGTTCGACCAAATGACTGACAGAGTCCCAATTGCCCCAAAAGCTACTTTGTGGTTCTTTTTGATATTGTTTCCTCAATACGGCTGTGACATTTTGGGGCCAAGGGGAGCTTTTGAAGTGGAGTTTTAGAGTTTTTCAGGCTCTCTATGCACTTTGATTCTTAAGATATAAGAATGTAGTCCACTAGATATTGTTTACTCAAACACGAATCATGCTAAATTATCAAACATAGTTAACAGATTATGTTGTCCGATTAAGATTGATCAGATTCACAAACGTTATTCCTTTTTTGTCAGACTAAGTTTTATGAAGTCGCAGATTATTTCCAGCAAGAAGTTGCAATGATGGGCTTTGACTTCCACCCAAGAACCAAGCAACCCTTGTCTTCTACAACTGTGTAACCCTCACAAGCATTAATTTCTAGCCATTTCATGGCCTGTGCTATCATTTTCAGAGGTGCCAGTTGGAACCCGGCACGTCTCATCCTCCGGCGCCATTGCTCAACCCTTTCATGCCTCTCCACCCTGGCAGGTCCCTCACAGCTCACAATGTTCTTAATCTCCTCCCCAAAATAAAACTGCTCCATTTTAGCTCTCCTTGTATCATACTTGGGCAGCATTGCATCCAGGGAGTCAAATATGGCAGAGTAATTATGCAATGCCTCCATGAATCTCCCTAGAAAGAAAGGCCCATTGTGGCTTGTGTCCTGCTCAACCAAAACCATAAGCTTTGGTGATAGCTGATGAAGTGTTTGTAAAACTGAGTTCAATGCACCTCTGCTCTCTTTCACCAGACAATGCAACTGAAGTATGCCGTTGATGACCAAAACCTCCCCATCAACCAAATTGAAGTCTTGAGGCTTTAGATTCTCCAAGCTGCTCTCCACTGCTGAAAATTCAAAATTCAGTTTCGTGCTTTGTGCAAGCAGCTTGAGATCATTGCCAATTGCTTGAAGGCGTTCGGCAGAGTTGCCAACACCGGTGATTTGAAGGCGATGTAAGGGTTGTCCTCCACGGTTGGCTAGACTGTCTATTAAGTTGCGCCATTGGTATCCATGTGAGAGGCCTAGGGTCATGCCCAAGTCTATGACATGAACAGAGCTTTCTCCCTCAAAGGCTTCCAATATTGATGCATTTGCTATAAAGTGACCGAATTGGATTTGTGGGCAAATCTCATAAACAAGGTGCAAAGCCTCATCCTTTTCTGCCGAAAAAGCAGTTGACTTGGTTATGGGTCCTATAACTCCCACTGCCCCAAGCGGTTGAACCAGCGCAAGGCGGTCAGAGAGACCTTGGACAAAGCAGGATGCTACTCGCTGAAATGATGTCCCAAAGACCTTTGCATTAGCTCTGAGCTCATAAAGTAATGTTGAAGCATGAGCTTTGTCACGACAAGCCACAGCCTCAGCACAAGCAATGAGTTGCTGGACTAGTTTCGTCCCATCTTCCCTTCCTCCTTCCCCGGATTCGCCTTCCTTGCCTCTCATCAGGTTTGCAGTGGCTTCTTCCATGGCCTCTACTGCCAAGTATCTCCGAGTGTATGCCAATATGTGATCCCGGAAATGGATTCTTGGCAAGCTATCTAATCCCCTAGCACACATGCCGCCACTGCCGCTGTAAAGACTATAATAGTTAGTACCTGCATTATTGAATTCATAGCTGGCACTATGTTGCTGCTTTATCCTCTTATGACTTCTTGTTTCATCTATGAATGGGATCACCCAGGCAGCAGGATTTTCCTCCAAAGTGGAAAGAGAAGAAGGGTCGGGAAGGCATGCCATGGATGACAGATTGAGATCAAGACCAATCACCTCATCAGATGTGTTGTCCCCATAGAATTCAGCTTGAGCATAGAGACCAGATGCCATTAATCTACCTTTCTAATGTATGAGAAGATTTTGCAACTAAGTTAAATGACCATCTCCTCCGCTGGGGATTTATATATGTCTGTGATGTGTAGGTTGAAGCTTCCTTGTTGCGTCGATGGCGATTACTATGTTGCGAAGTATTCCAAATGAGCAAAATGTGAGGACTTAGAAAAAAATAATTGTCTTACTTCCAGCAGGCATAGGGCAATGCACACATAGAGCAATCACTGACCAGGGAGCTTCCATTATTGCCATCACTTTCAAGGAATCCCTAAGATTTGGGAGCTTTATATCTTGTCTATGTCCACAGCTTTGGTACTTTATCCGTATGTGACTGTAATTTTCCCAGATACAGAATTCTCCAATGCTACTCGCGGTTGTAACTTTTATTCTATTACCTTCCTTTTACCAGGTCCTGATGTGGTTTAAAATAATACATATGGCCTTGGGATATAGCTAGGATAAGCTTATCCTGCACACATACATGACAAAACAAGAAGTATCTGCACCTAAATTGTTTGTCTTTAGGCTCCCTTGATTCCGTTCGGAACCTGATATCCAATTCATCTAGTAATTAAAACCACTAATAGATTTGTTGTTGCCGGCCAGCCTACCTGCTGCTGCTATGGAAGATTAGTTTAAATTTATCAAAGGGTATATATGCAGAAGAGCAAGAGGCATGCACATAGTGAACAAAGCAACCTGTATAGGATATACCATTGGACATATATATATTATATACTAAAACCCAATCCAACTGGCCACTGTTACTAAGCACAAATTTTTTTATATAATAATAAATATATAGAAAGAACTATTTTTTTTTTTTCTAGATTGTAGACTTATTATTGTGGTAGGAATTAATTAAACTCCAGTTATTTGTGCCCAATGAACTAGGAGTGTAAGAATTTTACAGGTACTGATCATGGAACACTTTCTATCTTTTTCATTTTGATTCATTAGAACTGAGGTATTGTACCATCCATGGGTTTAGCTTACAGAGTTTTCCTAGAGTTAAAGAAAGCCTCTGCATTACAAGGTTCTGATTTCATATGTACACTTTTGTTGTTGTTGTTTTCTTAGTTTTTTTTTTCTAATTCTGGGTCCTTCACTGGTCTCTCTCCCCACAATCCTCTTCTCTCGCTTGGCCTCTCCGATATCACTCTTTTCTCCATCACTTCATTTCCTTCTGTTGTTAAATTTTCTGCTTTTAGTGAATTTGAGGGGTGTAAATGGAGGTGGAGGGAATTGGGTTTGGTTGTGCGACTGAAATTATGCATCTTTGTGTGTTATTTCAGTCCAAGTTTGTACCTTTGTATATATGTGTGTGTGTTCTGTTTTCATAAATGGGAAGGCAGCTGTGATTGGGTTCCTATTGTTGTTAGATTTTGAACTCTTGACTGGTAAAGGGGAACTGGCTTGTTGAACTAGTGTTGCAAAACGTACTTATGGTCACGCATTTGAACTGATGTTATCCCTTTAGATGGATATTTGAAGGAGTGTTTATTTCATCGTATTTAAAGGTCACTACTTTAACCTAGCATAAGAGCTAGCTTAAAAACTAATCTTAACTTTGGTTGGAATGACTTCTAAAACCTGACAATGATGTACACTTAAGCAATAGCAACTAAACACCTTTCTGTTGGTTTGTGGACTTTAAAGATTTTATCCTACGTTAATTTTTTAGTTCACTCAAGTGGTATACGTATACTTCAATTCTTCCCAATTCTAATATTTAGTTGCTGCAAATTTCCGTTCATGTTAAGAAACTTGGCTTTTTTTGGGGAAAGATGAGTGAAATCTGCTGCAAATTCTACCCATCTGTACATTTGAGAAAGATGAGTGAAATGTGGTTGCTAAATATATAAAGAATTTACAGTAAGGGTTTAAGGTCTATACTCTTTTTGTAGCTGCAGAATATAAACTTTTGTTTCCCTTTTTTCTTTAAATAAGGCAATACTCCTCAACTTATTTTCATTGTTATGATCCATAGCACAAACCACCCATATATTTTATTGTCTTATTTTCACTAGAACTTTGCCATTTATCTACACTGACAACTAACATTTTTCCAATTTGTAACAGAGAAGTGAAAACACATGCAGATGAGAAGAAAGAAGAAAAAACCCCTATGCAGCCAAGCCAACAAAAGAAAATACTCTTCATGAAGACATCAAAACAGATGAAAAACCAAGAACTAGTGAAGAGAAAAGTTCCATCACCAATCTGTGTATATCGATATCTTAGTGTATAAAACATGTTATTTATCTATCTATTGCAACAGCTGTAATAGTTTTTAAACACTACTTCGCATACATAACATGTTACTAATTTATCTTTTGTAACTTAAACTTTCACATGTATGTAAATAATATTGTGTTTCCTATATGTTTTTACAAGTTTTTACATATTTTATACAGTTTTAATACCTATAGCATCGTGCGGGCACCTTTGCTAGTTTTTCTCTAGATCATACAATCTTGGAACTAAATAGATAATGCTTGTTCATAACTCTATATTTGCAGGGTGACTATACAAAAATGTGATCGAAGGTTTACATATAATGCACAACTGAATGAACATCACATATTGTGGCAAAAAAAGAATGAACATCACATATCAGGGAATATAATTGATCTTAAATTGTCTCTTGACTAGCCATTAAATGAACAAAAAATTGAATGAATTTGAAGCTGATGCTGTACACCAAAATGCTTTTGTTCTTGTTCCTTTGAAGCTGTTAAAATGTGCTTCAATCCTCAAGCTTCATAATTGTTTTCTTCTTCATTGAACTAATCATATTAATCAATAGGAAAACTCATCGCCTCTGATTGAGATATACTTTTTGACCCATATAGTAATATCATCTGCACAAGCCTTGGCCTGGGGTGTATGGAGGAGCACATCAAGAGTGGCAAACTCATGCACAGTATCTTTGTAATCAAGAAGAGGTGCATCCACATTAGCCTTCCTCAACTCCTCTGAGTAAGCAATGCCCCGGTCGCGCATCCAATCATGCTCCGCCACAACTGTTAGCGTTGGAGGCATGCTCTTCAAGGGTGGCCCTGTCCCAGGCAAGAGGGGGTTGCCTGCAGGATGGTCTAAATCAAACTCTTCCTCTGTTAGAAATAGCTTCCAAGCCAGCATACATGTATCCTTGTCATATAAGTAGGAATTTGCCAACTTAATCTCAGACTTGGTGGGAATGCTTCCAATGAAGAAAGGGTACATGAGGACTTGTGCCACCACTTTCAAAGGGTCTAAGAGGTTCCCTGCCTCCACCGCCTTTCGAGCTATGTAGTCAGCTAGGTTAGCTCCACAGCTCACCCCAAGGAGTACACACCTGTTCTGATAACAAATTCCATGTCAATGCCCATTAATTATTCCAATTCAAACAAACAAATAAACACAAACTTAAAAAGTTTCGAACTTCAGATATGTTAAGAGAGAACAGCAAAACCATGAAATTGATCAATTTCAAATATGGCAACAAGCAACAAGTACCTAGATGGGTCTCCATGAGCAGCCAGCCATGGCTCAACCATCGACGACCCAAAGCTATCGAAGATACGGCTGCGAGCGTTTCGAAGCGTAGCCAAGTTGGCTTGCTTCGCTACCCACTTCAACACCAAAACCCCGTCCTCAAACGGCGCCGGGTAGGGGCTCTCCGGCGCCAGCCTGTACCCGACCGCCACCACGATCACGTCGCACAGCTTCGCCATCCTCCTGCAGAACGCGTCGTTCGACGACGTGTCGTTGCTCCCGCTCACAAACCCACCTCCGTGGAACTGCAAAAATATCGGAAGCTTCCGGTGGCGCTTCCCCATCAGCTGATCGGGAAAGTATCCCCTGTACACGGCCCCATCAGAGTCGTCAGAGCAGAGAGGCGATTGAGCGGCGCCACGTTTCGGAGGCTTTGCGGTTTTGAGGGGGACTGGGAGGACAGTGTCGGGTAAGAAGATGCGGAGGGAGAGAGAGGAGAGGGGGTCGACGTGGATGTCTTTGGTGGCGACGCCGTCTTGGAAAGTCGGGTTGGCGGGAACGGCGGGCTCTTCGGGGCGGGAAGTGATCCCGAAATTTGGGTCGGGTTGGATTTGCTTTAGGGTCTGCAATTGGTGTCTCAGATGGTACTTGAAGAACAAGCTGTACAGCTTCAAGCTGAGGCTTGGCATTTTTTTCTTATGCTCAAATTAAGAAATTAAAAACACAAAAGAGAGAATTAAAGACAGAGGTCGATCAACTGGTCAAGAAATAATCTGGTTTTTGGGTATTAAAATGTTTAATTTCAATTTGATTTCAATTCAATATGGCAGACGCAGAGACGTGTTGGAATATTTGGCGGTCAGAGTAGAAGCTTCGAGTTTGAAATTGGGCGCTATCCTTGCAGTTTCGTATCAGGTGCTGCTTTATGTTGTTGTACCTCAGTCATTTTTGTGCTTTGAATTTTAGAGGTACAATCAATAGAAGCGGAGGAGCCGTTAGAACATCTCTGTTGAAACCGTTGTTGTTTTTTCTATTATTTAAAAATATAATTAATCTAATTTACGATAATGTTGATTCGAACTTGGGTATAAGAGCATTTTGACCTGTAACTTTCCAATTATTAATTCAAATTTTATGTTCTTTATATGGTTGGATTCAGCATGAAAAGCTAAAGAACCCAATGCAGACTAAATGTCAAAATCAGTTACATAAATGTACAGAATTCAATAAAAAGAATGCTCAAAGGTTCAAACAACAAACACAAGTGGCTCCCAGTACATCTTGAGTACATATTGAATGGTATAGTGACTAAGTTATTTGATTTCGTACTTGGATGAATTAGACTATTGAATTTTTATATTTTACAAGGATAATTTGGTGTATTTGTTCAAGAACTTATGTTATGTGAAAGTATTATAAATTGTATTCTTATAGTATGTTTTTATTACGGTACTACCGACGTAATGAATCAATTTGAACTGAATGTTAGGTTAACTGATCCGAAGTATTTGGTTTGG